CCTCCTCCCGCCGCGGCTCCTCCTTTCACTGCTGTTCCTCCCCCTGCAGCTCCTTCTGCTGCTGTGCCTCCCAACTGCGGCCCCTCCTCCCACTGCTCCTCCTTCTCCTCCTGCTCCTCCCTCCTGCTGCTCCTCCCTCCTGCTGCCCCACCCTCCTCCTCTGGCTGCTTCTCCTCCTCTGGCTGCCTCTCCTCCTCCTCCCACTGCTCCGCCTCCGGCACCTCCTCCTCCCGTTGCTCCTCCCACGGCTGCTCCTCCTCCTCCACCTGCTGCTGCTCCTCCCTCCTGCTGCTCCTCCCTCCTGCTGCTCCACCCTCCTCCTCTGGCTGCCTCTCCTCCTCCTCCCACTGCTCCGCCTCCGGCACCTCCTCCTCCCGTTGCTCCTCCCACGGCTCCTCCTCCCGCTGTTCCTCCTCCTCCTCTTCCTCCTGCTCCTCAGGCTGCTGCTTCTCCTTTTGGTTCACCTGCTGCTGCTCCTCCTCCTCCCGTTATTCCTCCTTCACCTCCTCCCCCGCCCCGCTCCTCCCGCTCCTCCTCGTCGGGGTTCTGTACGGTCCCCGCCCTCCAGCTGGCGGCCGGGGCCCACCGAGGCCCGAGCCCCGGGGCACCCGTCCCAGCTGGGGCACGGACGCTCCGGTGGGCTCGATCCGCCTGCCGGCCTCCCCGCCGGTGTGCGGTGTGTTCCCCAGGCACGCCCACGGTCACTCGGCCCGCAGGAGCCGGGAGGTGACCCGGGCAGGGTCCTCTACTCTCCCCTGCCTCCCCTGCAGGACGCGCGGCGGAGACGCAGGGGCTCCACGGACGCCCGGGAAGAAGGGCGGGAGACACGGGGCCGGCTACGGGGACCCGGGGCTCGGCCCCAGCCGGGAGGGCGTGGAGAGGGTGGACGGGGGAGGGAGGGAGGACGGGGAGGGAAGGAGGGCATGGAGAGAGAGGACGGGGAGGGAAGGAGGGCATGGAGAGGGAGGACGGGGAGGGAAGGAGGGCATGGAGAGGGAGGACGGGGAGGGAAGGAGGGCATGGAGAGGGAGGACGGTGAGGGAAGGAGGGCATGGAGAGGGAGGACGGGGAGGGAAGGAGGGCATGGAGAGGGAGGACAGGGGAGGAAGGGAGGACGGGGAGGGAGGACGTGGGGAAGGAGGGCATGGAGAGGGAGGGAGGACGGAGGGAGGGAGGACAGCGGAGGGAGGGAGGGCATGGAGAGGAAGGACAGAGAGGGAAGGAGGGCATGGAGAGGGAGGACGGAGGAGGGAAGGAGGGCATGGAGAGGGAGGATGGGGGAGGAAGGGAGGACGGGGAGAGAGGACGTGGGGAAGGAGGGCGTGGAGAGGGAGGACAGAGGGATGGAGGACGGGGGAGGGTGGACGGGGGAGGGAGGGCGTGGAGGACCCCTCCTGGGTGGCTGCGCTCCGTCCAGGTAGCCGCGGGCGCTCCCCGCGCTCCCCCACTACGCGGCCTGACAGCTGTGGGCGGCCCAGCCTGCTGCGCCTGCGCACTCCTGCTCTCCGCTGGGTGGGCGCCCTGGCGGGAGTTGGGGGGAATGGCGGGTCGGGCATTCGTGCAGAAGGCAGCGGGGTGGGATGATCGGTTTACCGCGCTGGCTTTCCTTCCGTAGCCCCCTGGGATATGTAGTTCTCCTTCTCATAGCCCTACTCTGAAAACAACGGCTTTGTGACCTAAAACTACAATTCCCAACATCCCTTGCGAGCAAAGTGGGCCGGGCAAGGTGCTGAGTGTTCTGGTGCTGGGTAGTTGGAGGTGGGAACCAAAAAAGGGGTGGTGGGAAGTGGTTGCTGCTTGGTGCTGGGCACAGTTGTTCTTTGTGCAATTTCACCAACACACTATAGGACCCGGCCTACAGAAACTACTTGCCAAACATCACGACGCTCCTTGGTGGCAAAAATGGCACTGAACCCATACCTCTGAGCATTTCCCTCACAAAGCAAAAACCTCAGTGCAGTGTCCAAGGGAGAGGAAACTGGCTGGCCAAAAGATAAAACGGACATAAAACCAATTGGGAAGAGCTTCCTGTAGTAAGGAAAAAGTAATAGGAATTAAAATGGGATATGCAGGTCTATTATAAAGCAAGTTTAGGGTCCTAGGGGAATAGATAGGTTCTTAAACACAGTATCAAAATTAGCTTTGAATTATTCACAATATTGTGTGACTGATAAGCATATTACAGGGACAATTAGGTACTTTATGGTTGCATTATTAAACATCCAACTGGCAGGCCTCTAATGTTTAAAGGAAAGCTGTCCTGCTTTGCTATGCTTTAGCTGGCAAGTACCTTTTCTCTGGGTATAAAGTTAATACAATAAAACATTTTCTTGAGGCTGGCCAGGGAAATACATGCAAGACTCTCTTTAAAAAGTAACTAAAGCAAAAAGGGCTAGAGATCTGACTCAAGTGATAGAATACCTATCTACTAAGTACAAGGCCTTGAATTCAGACTCCAATACTGCCTACCTCACCCCGATAAGATACTGAACTTTTCTGTCATCATAGTTATGCTTTTAAGAAATCGTCATCTGTTAGGAATCTAGACTCCAACATTTACAAGTGAATAATATACAAATCAGGAATGTGATTTAAAACACTCCAGCCAACCCACCTCTTGAAGACATAGGGTACATAGGATAAAACAATTCCAGAAACTGGGCGGTGGTGGCTCACACCTGTAATCCTAGCTACTCAGAAGGCTGAGATCTGAGGATCTCGGTTCAAAGGCAGCCTGGGCAGGAAAGTCAGTGAGACTCTTATCTACAATAAACCACGCAGAAAACCAGAAATGGTGCTGTGGCTCAAGTGGTAGAGTGCTTGCCTTGAACTGAAGAGCTGAAGGACAGTGCCCAGGCCCAGAGTTCAAGCCCCATGACCGACCAAAAAAAAAAAAAATCCAGAAACGGTTGGAAATCGTTCATATCAGGTGCTAGAACTCTATTTAGTTATACATTGCTGCAAATTATCACAAACTTTGGAAAGACAGAAATGCCTGTCACTGTGTCATCAGCTGGTCCGTGCATAGTGAGTCCTTACTAAATAAAGGCTTTCTACCTGCCATCAAGGCATTGGCTACACGGTGTTCTCATCACCTGAGGAAATGCTGGCTTTTGTGCTCACTCATGTAAATGGCGATTCATTTCCTTGAAGCTATGCCACAGCACCTGGCTTCTTTCTGGGTGTCCACTAGATACTGGAGACTATCCATACCACCAAGAAGGTGCTTGCAGTTCTTACAGGTCACTTGTAAGGCTTTCACTAACCCAGTGGGGAGCATCTGCTAAGAGGAGCCTGGGTTCTAATCAAAGGAGCACATTCAACTGGCTCAAAAGCAAGTCACAGGTTGCACAAACCTCTCCCTCTCCATCTCCCTTTCCCTTCCTTTCCTGCTCACCTCGCCTTCCTTTTCCTCTGTCCTTCCTGGTCTACCACATACTTCCTGCCATGAAGTACTACTGCCTATTCACAGGCCCAAGGACCAGGCCAACCATTTGCAGACTGAACCTCCAAAATGGTGAGCCAAAATAAACCTTCTAGCCTTTTTTTTTCTTTTTTGTCTGTCGTGGGGCTTGAATTCTGGGCTTGGGCGCTGTCCCTGTGCTCTTCAGCTGAAGGCGAGTGCCACTTCCAGTTTTCTAGTGGTTTATTGGAGATAAGAGTCTCACAGATGTTCCTGCCTGGGCTGGCTTTGAACTGCAATCCTCAGATCTCAGCCTCCTGAGTAGCTAGGATTACAAACCTGAGCCACTGACACGCAGTTCCTTCCATACTTTTCAATTGATTCGTAGTTACTTTCTGAAAGCTAATTCTGTTATTCTGCCTCTGATTTTTACAATTAACTTGCCATCAGATCAGCTTGGGCATGTCAGGATCTGCTGTAAGCCTTGTAACATGGGTCTATAGTAGTGTTCACTCAAAGGCTAAAGGACCTTTCCCTACAATGTTGCCCCTTTGGGCATGCTGAATGCTCAGGGTCAGCATCAGGATCCCATCTCTCAGTGACAGAGCTGAGTGCTTGTGGCACTCACCTCATTTTCTGCCTATTGCACAAATCCAAAAGCAGCTGACAGCTGGGCAACTGGCAGCTCATGCTGTATTTCTAGCTACTAGGAGGCTGAGATATGAAGATCCTTGTTTGAACTCAGCTCAAGCAAGAAAGTCTATGAGCCTCCTATCTCCAATTAACCACCAAAAC